ATGGTGGGCAGAAGTCCATGTTGCTAAGCCCCTGCATAAACTCCATCCCCGCCACTACGGCTGCCTTGTTTGCGAGCCCAATGGACAATGATAGAAGTGGTCAGGAAAGAGGCTGACTGGTATCCACAGAACGTCCTGTCCACTCAGGAAGCATTCACATAGAACACAAATATCTTCACAATTTTTGCCTATTTAGAGAGGTTTACTACTTGTACCTCTTTCCCAGACTTCCTTGTCACCAGTGTTCCCAGTCATGTTGCTTTCAAGTCCTTGACCATCCAGTCAAAGCATTGACCGCAGCTCATGAATCAGTATGTAATTGTACATCTGGTTATTTCTCCTTCCAAGCAAAGTGAACAACCAGGCATGCTGTTCAAAATCCTACAGACTGGGAGAATTTTCTTTTAATACTGTCCTTCAAAGGATATTCACAAAAGGGCCAAAAGTAGTGCTGGGGTCCACTTTAGGGGGATGACTACGTATCATGTAGAACCTACTCTGACTGAGTTTTTCTTTGTCAACTGATCATAGTGAACTCTTCATGCAGGAGCTGGTGCAGGATGGGTAAGAGAAGGTAGTATATTAATTGCTGGAATGTAGACCATGCATTTGGACCACTTCTTTGAGTAACTTACTTGTGCATAGCCTGCTTGGGTCTGATCTCATGTATACCACTTCCATTTGATGATGAAGAGCTGCTGTGCATGCTCAACTTATGGCCTGGAGGGCCGGATAACACCTGATTCATGATGGCCACCTCGGGTCACATGGTGACTTCATGGCTCATGGGTAAGCCTTCAGTCCCTACTAAGGTCCAGCAGTGAGCCAAAAGCTGTTTCTCAGAAAGAATGATTATTTGCAGAGCATGGCTTATCTGCAGAGGAATGCAGGATTTTGCTCCAAAATTCTAAGGGTCAGCACTGTGGTTCACCTCTCTGAGTCTGTCCAGGACACTGGCACTTAAAGCACCAGTGGGTCTGCTTGGTCATATGGTGGAAGTGGCAGTGCAGTTTGCATAGCAGTCTAGACTTGCTACAGACCCTTTCCTTGTTTTGGGACCCGCACCACTGGACTCCTGGAAATTTCATGGAGGTAGAAGGCCCTTGAACTTTTGTGAGAGTTATTTCTTCTGACTCCCAAATGTCCTACCAGTGGATCTAGTGTAGTTGCTATTTCTTGCTTGATAGGTCTAATCAGCATGTGATGGACCAGTGTGATGCCTTATGGAAGGAAAAGGTGATCAAGATCCTGAACCTTTTTTTTTTGAATCAGGATCTCATTGTGCCTCCCAGGCTGGAGTGCAATGGCATGATCATGGCTCACTGCAGCCTCGACCTCCTGGGCCCAGGCAATCCTTCTATCTTGGTCTCCCGAGTAGCTGGGACTATAGGCGCATGCCACTATGCCCGGCTTATTTTTTATTTTTTAATTTTTGTAGAGACGCAGTCTCCCTATAGTACCTAGGTTAGTCTCTAACTCCTGGGCTTAAGCAGTCCTCTCGCCTCGGCCTTCCAAAGTGGCGGGGTTACAGGCATGAGCCACTGCACCCTGGCCTGAAAACTAAATTATGGCACAGGACTAGAGAGGTGATATAACTCTGATGTAGGGCTGTAAAAGTACATTATTTGCCTTGCCAATTAAAAGCAAAATACTTCTGTTGGCTTCTACTAAGAGCTGTGAAGAAAAGATCTTTTTCCAGATAAACAGCTGTATCCCAGGTACCAGGTATGTTAATTTGCTCACGCAATGAAGCCACATCTTGTATAGAAGCTGCAAATGGAATTACTAACCCAGTTAAGCTTATGATTATCCACTGTCATTCTCCAAGATCTACCTAGTTTCAGTACAGGCCACATAGATTAATTGGATGGGGATGTGGTGGGAATCATCACCTCTGTATCTTTCAAGTCTTCCCAGGGCGGTGCTCATCTCTGCAATCCCAGCAGGAGGCATTGTTTTTGGTTCATTATTTTCCTAGGTAGAGACCTTTTGCAGAGGGACCTATGGCCTTTTACCAGGGTGACTGTATACTTGGAAAAAGGAAATAAGAAAACCTTTCAGGAATTACTTAACATCAGGTCTGAATTGACACTAATTCCAGGAGACCCCAAATGTCACTGTGACCCTTCAGTCATAGTAAGGGGCTCTGGGGATCTGGCTGATGAATGATTTTTTTAGTTCATCTAAAAGGTTCATCATATAGTGGGTTCAGTGGACTCCTCATCCTGTAGTTGTTTCCCCAGCTCTGGAATTCATAACTGGAATACACATACTCAGCAGCTGGCAAATCCTTTGCATTGGCTCCCTGACCTATGAAGTGAGGGTTATTACAATGGGAAAGGCCAAGTGGGAGCCATTAGAACTACCTCTACCTAGGAAAGTGAAATTGGAAAATCTACCTGCACTGGGGGTAATCGGGTCCCAGGGTGGCAGGAGCCAAGTAGCGGCACTTAGTCACCAAAAGCAAGGTGGGCATAGTTACTTGGCACCTCAGTTTTCAAGCCTGCTGGGACTTGAATCTAGTTAACAGTCTATAAGGAAAGATGGTTGTTGGAGGCAGGTCCTGAAAAAAGTTAGCAATATCTTACAAGGCAGTTACCCCAGGGAAGGCAATTACAGTTTCCTCAAAGCAGAGTTAATCTCCTCAGACATGGGTGGAAAGGCCATTTCTCCTGGTAGAGAGGGCTCATTGGAATTCAGAGGTTCAGTGTGCCCATCTTCATCATGATCTTATGTCCCCAAACCAGTTTTCAGAATCCCATTCTTTCCCAATCAATGCCCTCACTTTAACAGCAGATGCTCTCCAAGACTGGGAATTAATTTGCATTGTAATTCAGTCACTCACAGGATGAAGACTTTGGATTTGGTTTTCTGCAATCTCAGCTCTGAGGCAGTAAGAGACAAGGGTTTCTTTCCAGGAAGGCAGAGAAACTGTCAAGTTATTTGTGCTGTGCCTGGGCTAGGCACTCAAATCCCTTCCCTCCCCCCCAACTTTGTTTAGCCCAATTAGGAGCATCTGGCCGATCTCATTATGCTCATTTGTTTGATAAAAAAGTTCTATATTATTAAATACACGGTCAACCAGAACCTTGCCTAGTATAACCTTGTCTATTGATTAGAAGTACAGAAGAGTGATATTTTTGTGTGTTGCTATTGCTATATCATACTATGGACTATCAGTTCTCTCTTCACTATTGGGTGGAAATAGAGTCATCAATGCCTTCAAGAATCAATTTCAAAAACCCCAAAACTAATTCAGGGAGCTTATTCTTAAGATTCTGTTCCCTTAGAAATACTTCTTTTGGTCCCAAAATCTGTATTTGTCAGGTTTCTCTAGAGCAACAAACCAATAGGATGAATGTACATGTATTAATATTGCATATATATATATATATATATATATATATATATATATATATATATATATATATAATTTGTGCATGTGTGTGGTGAGAGTGAGGAGAGAGAGAGAATTTATTTTAAGGAATTGACTCACAGTTTCTGGAGACTCAGGAAAGAGGTCATTTTGCAACTCTATTCTGAAGGTAATCTGGAGACAGAATTCTCTGTTCTTTAAGGCACATCATCTTTTTCTTCAAGGCCTTCAGCTGACTGGATGAGACCCAACCTTGTGAGGCAGGGCCATCTGCTTACCTAACGTCTATCGATTTAATGTAAATGTTATCTAAAAAATACCTTCACAGCAACATCTACACTGGTATTTAACCAAACATCTGGGCACTGTAGTCTAGCTGAGTTAACACAAAATTAAGTGTCACAGAGCCCAAGAACATTTCAGAAATGAGCCACTAGGTGGGGACTTTACTCCCTGCCCATGGGCCAGGTGAGACCATGGGCCATGAGAGAAGACTGGAGGAGACTGCAGTAGGAGATCTGAGTCCTTGTCCTGCAGTCTGCCGACAGCCGGGGGAGTGGCTTAAGCACATTTCTCCTATTTAGTTTATTGTAAGATGGGGTGCTTCATACTCTGTCAATGATTCTCTAGCCCCTCTCTGGATTTGTAGCTCTATGACATCAAGGGATACAGTTATCCCTGGGAATTCATGGGATATCGGTATCCAGTTCTTAAGATGTAAAACCTATCAGCTGAAGAAGTTAGTTGGGTCATTTCCACGGCTTAGCCCTCCCAAAAGTAGGGTTCCTACAGTGCAAATGGGAGTGATGCTGAGCAACTCCAACCCGGTAGGAGTTTAGCTGCACAGAGACTGGTAGAAACCTGATCCAGTGGGAAGGGAACAGAGACGGGAATGGCCAGAATCTGTTCTCTCCATCCACACATATTTATTTAGCTAAACCTGATGGTAACAGCTTGAGGAATAGGAATGTGAGGTACCTTTTCTATCTATTTCCAATATTGCCTACATAAATTTTTCTATGACTACTCGACTATACTAGACCTTGAGAAAATAGATGTAAAGAGAGGAGGACAGAGAAAAATAGGGACAGTAGTAGGCTGATCTGGACTGGGATGGCTTACACTCGATCTCCAGTGGGATGTGCAATTAATGTGGTTCTTCCAATAAGCCACACCCCCATCAGCTGGCCCCTCCTTCCTCCTCCTACAAGTGCCCATTACTGTATGTGAGAAGCATCCCCAAAGCCCTCACCCACACCTGCCAATGAAATTAACTGACCATGAAATTAACTGACCGTGAAATTAACTGATCAGCAACAAAAACTAGCAGTTAATGGATGCCTGATATGATAGGCATTATCCCCATCTCTTTTGGTATTATCTTATTCAGCCCTCACAACAATCTTATCAAATATCTGCCAGTATCACTCTCACTTAAGGAAGGAGAAACCGAGGCTTAGAGTAACTGAGTGACTTGTTTCGGGTTCCAGATCCTCTAAGTGGTAGAACAGGAACTTGCGTTTGGGTCTGTCTGGCTCCACCCTGATGCTGTGATCCAGGACACAGTTCTCCTCCTTCCCTGCTACCCTGCTGCTTTGGTTCTGATGGAATTCTTTCCTTCCAGTCTGCCAGTGTTCAGCCCTTGGATCCTACCAGACGCCCTGCAGTCCAGTGACTGGACAGTGTGAATGCCGGCCAGGGATTACAGGACAGCGGTGTGACAGGTGTCTCTCAGGAGCCTATGATTTCCCCCACTGTCAAGGTAGGGAAGCCAGTGGATTGCTGGAGGACTGATTCTTCTCTGCAGTGTGTATAGCCAGCCTCTCAGAGAAGCCTGCAAGCCCCATACTGACCCACCACTGATTACTCCTACACATTTGTCTGATCTCTCCCCAGTTCAAATCCATTATAAGCACATATTTCAGGCCAAGTACAGTGGTTCACATCTGCAATCCCTGCTCTTTGGGAGTTCGAGGTGAGAGTATTGCTTGAGCCCAGGCATTCGAGATCAGCCTAGGCAACAGCAAGACCTCGCCTCTATTTTATATATTTTAAAAAATCTTTTCAAAAATTAAAAAAAACCAAACAGATATGTACTCTCAAAAAAAAAAAAAATCCAATTTTTTTCCTAACTAAAAAGAATGAAAATTCCCATGTGTTATAAGTTTAGGTTTCTCAGTTCACATGTCAACTGTGGGTAGCAGTGCAACACAGGTGACTCCTTTGAGTTAAATGGAACATTCGCTGTCCCCTGTCTCAGGGCGTCGTGCCTTCTTCTCTTGTTACTGAATTGCAGTGCTAATGCTGGCCATCCCATAATCTTTCAAAGAGGTCCCCTTCCTGGCAAGCTGAGCAGGATGTTTGCTGTGTTTCAGTCCTTCTCACTGCCCACGTCTGGCCTCCTGGGGGACTGTGTCAACATCATACTTCAACCCAGGTGTTAGTGCAAAAGAGGTGGGGGGAGCTGGAGTCTACACAGCTTGGAGACAGTGAGCTAAGAAAGAGGTGAAAACCAAACCTGCAACAAAGAAGTGCCGTTGGTATTCAAGACTCCACTGACATGAGTGCTAGAATCAGCGTGTTCTGTGGCAGAGGAGACAGAAATGAATTGCCAGCAAATCTCCCAGAGCTCCTTGGTGAGTGCAGCCAGGGGCAGGCCAGCAGCTCCTGACCACTGATTTCAGAGGACTCTTGCTCCATAGAGAAGCGGTATTTGTGGAAGGTTGAGCTAGACTTGCCGTCAGGAGAAAGTAGTTCTCCATCCCCTCCCTGTCCCTGACCATGCTGCAATCCTGTAGACCTAGTGTCCAGAGCCATCTGAAACGGCTGCAGTGCAGACCGTTTCCCAGAACCTTGCTAACCACAATCCTCCAGCGACCAGTTTTCCTGAGGGTAGAAATTGCAACCAGCAGTCAGAGGGGACTGCTTCCCTTTGAGAAGGCCTGGAGGCCCCCAGAATTTGAAGGCGTCTTGGGGTGGGTCTGCTGGTCTCCATGGGCATAAGGAACAGAGGGAAATTCTGTGGTGCCAGGTAGTAAGGCTGAGAACCACAGCCACCCAGGCCTAAATGGTAACATTTGTGTTCTGGGGAAGAACCCAAGGCTGGGCCTGGGTAGGCTGGGAAAGAGTGGGAGGGTTGTGTTGAATATTGTAGAAAAATGCAGGGGACAGAAGAAAAATTTGTAGGAAAACAAGACCCTATTATGGATTTATTTAAATTATTTGAAAAGCCAGGCTCAGAACAGACTTATAGGTAACTAACTTTTTTTGTTCAAATGCTGTATAATAGTAATATTGAAACATTGCAAAATCCCAATTTATTGAAGACAGATTATATTAAACTAGCAGTGCTAGACTGATTAAGTCAGGAAAGCAAACTAATTGATTTTATAAATAACTTTAGTACAGGTGGGAATAAGGGAGTTGTGGTAATTAAAGAATTAACTCTTGGTGAACTAAAAAATGTACTTACAAATTCTTAAAGGCCAATTTAAAAAATTTCTTGGTACAATATTGCCCTCTTCTGGACTATACTAAACAATACTCCACATTTTAGAATCTGTTATATAATCTCCTGCATCATCAATAAAATTTTATTAGCAGGCAGGGAACAGGATTGTTCAGTAGCAGAAGAGGCAATTCTGGTATTAAGAGTAAAAAACATCTGTTAGGATGCTTAACCATGAGTTGCACACAAATTCTTTGCTGCTTATCTATCAAAAAATATAAATATAGATGCCCTATTTTAACAATAAGCAAAATGTTTAAAATGTGGAACATCAATACAAGCAAAGAGAAAACCAAACAACACGCTACAAAATAATTTAAACATTTCTAAATCATATACAGGTTCCAGCAGTGCCTGTGACCCAGCTGGTACCCTCGACTTCAGTTTGGTAAGTAGAGGGTTATAAAAGGGTTACAATTCTTTCTACCTGTATTATTCTGATGTGTATTAACAACTGACAGTGTGGAAGTTTCCTGAAATTAAAAGTAAATTAAAGTAGAACCCTAGGCCAAATTGCTTAAAGAGGTCACTCTTTTTCAAAGTGCATATATGTTTTTGTGATTTTTCTTCCCCTAAAAACACAAAATAATAAGGTTTACATAAACGTTTTATTCCAGAGTCCTAGAGTTTAACTCTTCCTGTAGGCAATTCTGAAGGTGTTGCCACCACAGACGTAGCATGTAAGTCTGACAAGCAAAATTCTCATACAATTGAGAAAATTCACACTCAAGGATACATTAAGTAAAGTTGGCTGTGTACAAAATAATTGCAATTTATTTTATCTTATTCTAAGCACAGTACTTCGAGATCCTGAACACTTTTCCAAGACCTTTAGAAATTATCTATCATCTTGGCCTCAGAGCCTAGAGATACTGACCTCCAGAAACTGGAAAGACAGAGTAAAGGAGATTCTGCCGTCTTTACTGTGAGGCTTAACGAGATTGAAACATGGCAGCAAATCTTGCATATTACAAAAGTACTCTCAGATCAACATAACTCTAGACTGACTCTCAATGTGTTAAATATTCAGATATTTTTCCATTTAATGTATAGTCCAGGCTGTAACAGCATCAGTAGACACAGACAATGTTATAAATAAGAGTGATAGTTAGCCGGGCTCGGTGGCTCAGCCTGTAATCCCGCGCCTTGGGAGGCTGAGGTGAGTGGATTGCCTGAGCCCGCGGGTTCAAGACCCGCCTGGGCAACTTGGTGAGACCTCATCTCTACAATAAATCAAAAAATTAGCCGGACGTGGTAGTGTGCGCCTGTAGTTCCAGCTACTTGGAAGGCTGAGGCGGAAGGATCGCTGGAGCCCAGCAGGTCGAGGCTGTGGTGGCCGGGAGTGGCCACTGCACTCCACTCTGGGTGACAGAGTGAGACTCCAACTCAAAAAAAAAAAAAAAGAGTGATAGTTCAATTTTCTCTTTCTCTATATTTTCCAATTTCTTTTTCATCACAAATGTGGATTCTGATTCAAATAAATGAATAAAAAAATTTGAAGACTGTTGAAATTAGCCCAGTATTGTATTCCTTCTGGATACACTTAATTACTTTTCATGCCCAAAATAGATTTCTGTGCAAGCTTTTGCTCAGATCACAAGTTTGAAAACATGTCTTAATTCCAAGATGTCAAAAGTTAGTTTGGTTTTTGTTCAAAGGGGTATTGCCAATGCAAGCTTCATGTTGAAAATCCTACTTGTAGCATCTGCAAACCATTATATTGGAATCTGGCAAAGGAAAACCCCAATGGATGTTCAGGTAAGCTTTCTTAAATGCCATAAAAATTTGCTATATTATATCTTCCTTTTAATTTTCATTGTCTCAGTGACTAAGCCCACAAAAGAGCTATTTGTTGAGTCCGTTCTATTTGACTGAAATTCTGTATAATGTTTCAATGTTTTCCCCTTAAGTTTTGGCAGAATTTCTGTCACTTCCAAAGTCTCAGCAAGGGATTTATATCCTGTTTCCATATGTATTTTGGTGTCTGAGACAGCAGCTACTTGATAAATGGTTTTTACCTCCTTGTTTTTATGCTTCACTCTTTCTGGTTTAATTTTATTTTAATCTTATGCTTATATTGAAGCTAGGATAAGAACTTAAAAACAACAAGTTAAAGGTATAAACAGAGTGAATATCCTTGAATAGAATATATTTTTCCTGCAAGCATATCAGTAGTGACCTTGACATTAGAATCATTTTTAAACTTCATGATGTTGCAGCTTGTGTCTTGGAGTAGCCATAAACTAGCTATTACTTTTTGTAGATGGATAGTATTGATTGATCTGTTCTGCCAACCCCAGAAAGCAATCCAATTTTAGGCCTCCAATTTTCAGTGATGGAAACCGAGATTCTGCTGGAGGGTGCTGGAAAGACTGACTGCACATGTCAGATTGCAGGAGTGTAATGTTCCCAGAACCGAGAACTGTCTTTTATGTCACCCTTGGTTCAAAGACGCTTTCTTTTCTCCCCAGAATGCCTGTGCCATGCAGCGGGAACAGTGAGTGGAATTGGAGAGTGTGGGCAGGTAATGTGGGCCGAGTTTTTCATGTGATGACAGCAGAGTGTTATAGCAACTGATTGTGGAGGTTCTGGGGGAATGTGCTAGTACCTGCTCATGGTACAGTACACAGTAATCTTTCCCACTGCTTCCTTTTGTACAATGAGCCAGTTTTCAGTCTTAAAGATTAGCAAATTCCGTGATTGTATCAAATTTTGTCATCTAGTTCTTTGTTCTGCAGGGAGATGGTGACTGTCACTGCAAGTCCCATGTGAATGGCGATTCCTGTGACACCTGCGAAGATGGATATTTTGCTTTGGAAAAAAGCAATTACTTTGGGTGTCAAGGTAAATACATTCAGTGGGTCCTGAGCAAAGCACAGTGTTGATGGCCAGAGATGGTCAGAATAACCTTTCTCTGTGTTCGTTGGCTTCATGCAGACTTTCTGATGGGATGGCACTGAGACATTCCGTCCGGGGGATGTGGCCAAGCATTACATTGACACTAGTTAACAATTGCAAACGAGGCTGCTTCCCCTTCTCGTCTCCTAGCACACTGTTGGTTTAATTGTAAAAAAACAAAATTGCGATAACTTTATTTTAGAGGATATAATAAATATAACTTATTTTAAAAGATATATATTATATTATCATACAAAATATAATATTTTGTATTATCAAAAAAGCTAGCACTAGATTTTTACAGAGAGTGTTGCGTGAAATAGTGAAGTTGCGGGAACAGTGGCTCCACAAGGCTACTCTTGAACCTCTCTCACGGCCTCTCCCTTGCATTCATTGTTGACAATAGCACTGTTTCTTTTTCTGAGTCGGGGTCTCACTCTGTCACCCAGGCTAGGGTACAGTGGTGCGATCACAGCTCACCACAGCCTCTATCTCTTGGGCTCAGGTGATCCTTCTGCCTTAGCCTCCCAAACTGCAGAGACTACAGGCACGCACCACCACACCTGACTAATTTTTGTATTTTTTTTTGTAGAGACTAGGTTTCGCTGTGTTGCCTAGCCTGGTCTCCAACTGCTGGTGTCCTACAGTCCTCCTGCCTTGGCCTCCCAAAGTGCTGGGATTACAGGTGTGAGCCACCATGCCCAGCCTACATATCATGTTTAGCTCCTGGGTTCCTGTCACTTTTGCACTGGAAAACAGCATTCAAGCTGGCCTACAGTAGTGCACCTCCAATTTAGAAGCCGATTTGTGGAGAAACATGCTATTTGAGTATGGAGGGTACCTATGTGTTTCAAAACCCTGTGAGATATAAGATGTGGCAGAAAAAGAAGGCAGATGCTGGAACATTGGGATTATTCGTTTTTTGGTAGAGAGGAGGAAAACATTAAAGGTGGAGATGGTTTGATGGGTAATCGCTGCTGTTTCCTGACTTTTAGGGTGTCAGTGTGACATTGGTGGAGCGCTCTCCTCCATGTGCAGTGGGACCTCTGGAGTGTGCCAGTGCCGAGAGCATGTCGTGGGAAAGTCGTGCCAGCGGTGAGTCTCGGGAAGCTTCTTCCTATGCTCATGTTGTGGAAGATGATCTTAGGCATTCCTGCCTGTGCTTCAAGTCTGGTGAAGAGAGAGGCGGTCCTGAGGATCCAGGGAAGTGAAGCTGTCCTTTGTAATTTGCAATCTGGACATTTTTGTGTGAGTTGATTAAAATAGGCGGTGGCGTTGCCCATAAAGCCTGTTCTGCTGTGTAGGCCATAGACCAACTTAGCTTGAAAGTTCTTCCAGATGCAAAAAGCCAGGTGGGCGAGACGAGAGCTGGAAGCATGAGGCGGGTTCACATGGCCCAGCCTACATGTGCAGGTCAGAGTGTGAGGAGCCAGCAGATAGGCCAGCACTAGAGAGAGAGGGAGTAAGAGAGGGCGGCTCCACACGCCCAACTGCTTGAGCCAATAAGAGAGGGAATAAGAGGGGGCGGCGCCACACACCCAGGTGTCTGGGCCAATAAGAGAGGGAATAAGAAGAGGTGGCTCCACATGCCCAAGAGCCTGGGCCAATAAAAGAGGGACTCGGGAGTGAAGGCGTGAGGGAGTGGAGAGGCCAAGGGT